GTAAAAAAATTCATTAATTTTGCTCTATATTTCAATCAATATCAAAAATAATGAATTATGAAAATTTACACTTTCAATGTATGCACATTTATATACGGCAAATAATTGACATTATTCCCATATAAAAAGTAAAATCTTGAAGATATAAAACAATGAGCATCACTGTAACAATTGTGGTCCATTCATGAGAAATAAAATAAAAATATTTTCATATTAAAACCACAATGCGGGAACTGTTCATTTTTCAGTGAAACATTTAAAGCAGCACCCTTCCACATGATTAAAATAAATTTTCAACAAAATAATGAAAATTTCTAACTGTACAAAAATACAATATTTATAAATGTAAAATATTATATATTGGACTTATATGCACAACTAAGGTGAAAGTTTAAAGATATTGTGAAAATTATCAACTTTATTACCAAAATTCTATTTATATGTTAAAGTTAGAAAAATAGAATTTCAGAATATTTTGACAAATAAAGGCAATTTCTATGGTCTGTAAGAAGTTTAGGGCTAGGGATAAGTTTGACCCCTTAATTTGTATTACAGGGCTTTATTACAGGTTGGGGAAGCAGTCCTGTCCTTAATTTTGGGGAAAAATTACACGGTATATTTGCAAAAGGGGAAGAAAAAACTTGGATCATGTAAATTCAATTTTTGGGGAAAAATGCAAGATTTTGAAGAATTTTTCTTCGAGGAAGCAGCCTTATAACAGCCCCTGATATAGAAGGAAAAAAAGCCCTGGTATATTTGACAGCATTTTATCCTATTAGAACGATTGTAAGTTTTTATAAAAACTAGCACAAACTCTAAACACTTGCTGCTATAAACAATACACTGCATACTACTGCATTAATACAGATACTGCGGAGATAGAGGACTAAGTGTCACCTAATGAAAGCCATAACTAATCAATGCCCACAATTAGTCAATTGTTCAAAACAATGTACCATGGGATCCTCTATTTTCCCCCCTTTTGAAAACATGAAAATGTGTTTCTATAGATTTGCACAATGACAAGTTACATAAACTGTAACTGTTAACATACTGAATATCTGCAATGGGGCAGTGAATTCATTGATGGATTTTAACCTGTAGCCTGCTAGTGGCAACTGATTCACCCACCAAAATGCAACCAGTACCAGGGCCAAAAAACCCTTCTTTGTTGTGGCCGAATATAGGCTGCTTCCTCAACCAAACTAGCCTCTTTTTTCCCCAGTTTGGTCTTCAAACTTTCCCAGTATTTTGAAATTTCCCATAGAATTTATGATGGTGTTGAATTAGGGTCTTTTACTGCCTTATTAGTATTTCCCAGTGCTTTTTGCTTTTCTATTTTGAAGAACTTGTTAAAAAGTTTGTGTTAAATTTGAGATCCCTTTTCCCAATGTATGCCAAAATCACGCAATTTTCCCCAAGAAAAAGGCTGAGGCCCCTTCCCCAAAAATGGTGTTTTGGCCCCGAGTACAAACAAATATCAGCCTGATTCACCCATCCTATGCAACCAGTACAAACAAATATCAGCCTGATTCACCCACCCTATGCAACCAGTACAAACAAATATCAGCCTGATTCACCCACCCTATGCAACCAGTTCAAACAAATATCAGCCTGATTCACCCACCCTATGCAACCAGTACAAACAAATATCAGCCTGATTCACCCACCCTATGCGACCAGTTAAAACAAATATCAGCCTGATTCACCCACCCCATGCAACCAGTTCAAACAAATATCAGCCAGCACAACTGATGTGCTAATTAAATATGAGCGAAATAACAGATATTCTGAATGAAATATACGTAAGTAAATCATAAAATATGATAATGCTACAGTGATTTTCCCCCTATATTTTACAGCCGAATAAAGGCAGTTTCCCCTTGCCCAAAACAGGTATAATTTCCTTTAAATACAGGTATATCAGCTAGTTGATAAATTTAACTGACTAAAAGACAGAAAGCTTGCCCTATAGATAGCCTCTGCTATGTAAAAAACAGTAAATGTACCATTCATGTTAAACTGAATTGAAATTAAAAACTTTAAAAAATGTGTGGATAAATTCTACACTCAGTTATCGAAATTTCATTTTAGGTTCTTCTCTGATTCATTGTGCTAGCTTTCCCCCTACAGAAAGCCAAAGGTTGTTTAGAAAATTGAAAGAAAAAAATCACTGATGATGTGTATATAACTATACTTTTCAAGCATATTTACATCATTTTTTAACTTGCATCATTATTTTACATTAATGCTAGTTAAGTTTTTAATAATATGCTGAAAATTTGGCCAGTGATTTGAATATGTTATGCAATATGCATATTATTATGTAAATTACATAAATTTATATCTGCAAAAATAATGCATGAAATATTTCTTTGTAAACCATTATGACCTGATGAGAGTTATAACTTTGAAGACTGAGGGGGTGTACCTTTAATTTTTTATATTCAAAGCCAAATATATAGATGGAGAGAACTGAAAAGAAACGAAGAAAACATGTAATTTTGGGGGAAAAAAACGTAACAAAAAAAAACATTTTTTTTATGAAGATCTGGGGGATGGATATATAGTAGCAATAACTTTACTGAGGCTTAATAATAGAGTTTAAAGCAATTTTCTTCAAAGCAAATAGCTCCTACTGGTGGTCAACTGAAGAATGACCACTGAAAACCTCTTGTGATATATCCAAGCTCAGGGAAGTTATAACTGGTTTGAAAAATTTAAAAATTCTTGGGCAAACATTTTTTTTTAAATAAATTTTCTAAACTTTGACAATGAAACACTGAGGCTGTGCTGATGAAAACAGAGCAAAAATTTTCAGTTTTTCAAAAAAAACATAAAAAAATTTTAAAGGGTTTTCTAAAATTAATAATCAAGTGCGTTTTTAAAATTTTGGGAACTGTTCTTAATTACCTTAATTTTTGAATTTTAAAAGTTTTAAACACAATGCTTTAAAGCAATGTTACAATCTAAAGTAGCAGTGAGGGACAGCCATCAATAACCAACAGTACCTGACCTGCTCGAAATTTTTCTTTCAAAATAAATAGAATACACAAAAACTTGAGGAGAAAATTATAATATTTCAAAACTTCTTTAAGAATATTTCAATTCCTCCTTTTAACAAAATTCAAAAATTTAAAGCAAAAAAATTTCTTAACCTGATACATATACAATGCATCTCTGAATTACGATCATTTTTAACAGTGGAAAAAAAATGTTCATATTTGGTATTTGCCAGATATGTCAGGTAGTTTAATGGAAGGTTAAAAAGCTTACCACAATGTTAATAATGATTCAACAGCATTGCAAGTAATTATAAGTAGACACGACAATTTTATAAAATTTAAACTTTTTTTAGTTTACAGTTGCCATTTTTTGGTTTTGTAAAAAAATCTAAAACTTTTTCGGGGAAATTTTTCAATAACTTTTTAAAAAAAATTTTGAAAATAATTTTTAAAAAACCCCAAAACCAAAAAACCCCAAAATTTTTATTAACATTGGGGGAAAAAAACTTTTAAGCATTCAAACAATCGACAAAATTTGTTTTTATTTTTATCAAAATTTGGATTCTAAATAAAAATTTAAAAGGCATACTAAAAATTCTCTAAATGAACATAACCTAAAGGGGGGCACACCCAAGAACATTGAAATGCAAAGCTAAACACAGTCTTTATTAGATTTCAATTTAGTCATTAAAAAACTCTGATACATTTTTTCAATGGCACCCAAAACCCCTTGCAAAATGTGTTGGTTTTTTGAAAATTTAAAAAAATAACTTTAAAAAAAAACATTTTGGTTAAATTTAAAAATAATGTTCAAATGTTTAAAATTGTTTTTTTTTAAAAGGTTATTGGGGCCCAGCAAAATATTCGTTGTTGTCCGGGTTTGTCCAACACCCAGTTTGGACAACTGGAAATTATTAAGAATTTATTATTTTGATACAAACAAGTTAAAAAATGCTTCAGATGAAAACAGCCAATTAAGCCAAAATCAGATTTTGAAGGCCTATAGTTTTCACAAGACCAACTTTATGAGGTATTGTTGAGAAATGTTGATGACAACATAATGTGCAACTAATTAAAAAATTTTTGGCAGGGTTGACCAACACAGTATATAGCCTATTATAGGTCATAGGGCAACATTCCAATTTCCAGCTTGACTGGTGAAGAAAGACATCTGGTGCCACTCCATGCAATATTTCAGGCAAGAACAGGTACCTGTGTAGAACAGTTGATGTTCCATAATCTAATTAGAAATAACAATTCATCAATTAGACTCTGGTAATAAACTTAAATTAGTACCTCAAATGTCAGTAATCATAAAATTTTAAAACATCATTATATATTTGTACCAAATTCAGGATCACTTTTATTTTCTCAAAATATGTGTATTCTTAAATCTGGACAGACTCTTTTTCAAAACAAACAGGTCCCTTGGTATTGAAATCCATATATCAAACATTTAAAAAAAACCTAATAATTGTCTTATCAAAATGACACTCAATAAGCACATCTATAACCCCATCAATAATAATGTATTTAGAAATAAGATTATAAATAATCTATTAGGCCTAATTAGTTATTAGTACAAAGGAGAATTAAAATTGTGATAAGTGTATTTATCTCAATATTGTAGTATTCTTAGTTGAATAGTAATCAATTGAGAGAATATAAAGAAGAATCAATTATGACTAATACAAGCCTATCTTGCAGCATCGCAGTATGCATTTTCAAAAATCAATAATAAAGCCGATAGTACGAAAGAATAGTAAGATTTGTACAATATAGAAAAACAAATGACAGAAATCAACTAAAGTAACCACAATATCACAATATACAATATGCAAAAAAAGGAAATGCAAATTATGACTGAAAATCAACTTGCAAATATTTAAAACACACAAGTTCTTCCACCCACATACTGAAAGTGGGTGGGGTATGAAATTAAAATGTCTGTACAATAATAAGCAAAAAAGCTGGGTTTCTTACATTTTGATTTACCTGGGGCTGGGTGGATTGCAGCTGCCTTTGTAGGCTTTCTTTTTCTTTTTCTAGTTCTTGTAATTTTGTTTGAGTCTGTGCCTGGAGGTCTTGAGATTCCCGAAGAGCTTCCATCAACTTATCTCTTTCATCTAGCATGTTCACCATTAGCTGCTCAAAGTTGGCATCATCCCCTGATTCCTGGGACTCTCGGTCCGTTGACCCGTCCTCGGAGATCGTGGGCATCACGTCGCACATCATCTTGAGGCTGTTAACTTAGAACTTTCAGCCTCAAACAGAACAAAACTGTCAAATTTTTCGGCTGCAGAAGCTGACTTTAGAGTGAAATTTTCATCTCAGAAACCAGCTGAATTCAATTAAACTGGACGATAAATTATAATATCTTTTTACTTCCTAATCTAGCTTTCTTCTCCGCTTCATTACTAGGCACATTTATAAAGTAAACACTCGTTTCATTCATAGAAATTTAAGTGACCATCCCGGTTAGTAATTTGCATCTCGGCGGCCATTTTCTTCCGAAGTGTGTCATACCCAGAATGCACCACGCAGGGGAGATAACTGCAACTAAAGTTTAGAGTAAAACAAATGCATTTGCTATTCTTGTCTTGATGTTGTGATAAAAATGTTCAGCGCCTACAAAGATTTAAAAAATTCAAAACTTCCCTTTTGTTTATTTACACGTTAAATTTTCAATATGAACATAAAAAAAACTTGAAAATACCACAGAGCTATATAAATTACCTAAATACGGTACATCTAATATTATTTCTACGCTTCTGAAATTAATATTATTTATTTATACGTCTCTTCATGAAAATTAATTGTTGAAACCGCCTGGGTTACTAAGTAAGGTAGACAGAAGCATGCACTTACCCCACATGTACAGGTTCAATCAAACCAAGCCTGCAACTCTTTCGACTTTTTCTATAATTATTGTGTGTTGTTTTAGGGAATAAAAATGTAACCTAGATACTGTATACATGTATTAATTTGATGTTATATTCCTGTCCTTAAAATCCGTATTGATCTTTGCCTTGTTTTTCAGGGGTTCCATTTTTCGAATGCAGGAATACACGGTGACTATATCACGAGACATTTAATGATAAAAAAATGCAGATTTAATTTTGTTCCATATTTTATTATTTTGTATGTGCTACTATTTTATTATTTTAATTGTATTTGCTACATGAGGGGTCAGTTTATAAATAATTATCTAAAGAAGGGTGTCAAAAATGATATGTATAGGAACACAGTCAGTTTTAAGTTTATTTATACTCGGAGCCGGAATAACCAGGATATGTCCGAGAATTCAGCATCCGTGCCGGTCCACTAAGGTAGTCACATCGGGGACGTCTTTGTCAAGCTGAGTCTTCCTGATATTCCCATTCTTCGTTCGTTGGTGGTAGAGGAGACGACAATACTGGCCAGGCATCATGTTCCATACTGACGATAACAAAAACGGCTCTCATTAGCGCCAACCTCCAGAGTTAGTCACGACAGGTCAACCAATCACCTCTGGTACTTAAGATGACTTGACCTTGACCTGCCGTGTGCCTTCTCCGCGACGTGCACGCCTCTGGAGGGATTTGGAGAAGATGTATAGGAAGCTTTCTGTGCTAACGATTTATAAGAAAAGGGTCACGAGAAAAGTGACAACCTAGCTAGCTATTGGTGGTCGTCAGATCCTTATATGTAACGTTAATTATATAGCCTGAGCTGATGTTAATCAGATTAAGATTCGGTGATAACGATTTGTAAGGAAAAGGTCACGAGAAAGTTGTAAGCTTTTGGTGGTCGTCAGATCCTAATCATAATATAGCGTTAATTATATAGCCTGATTTGATTTTAATCAGATTGAGATATTGTTGTCACCTTTGATTTGGCAACATGCACTAGCTCGGAAGGAGCGATAGGGCGATTTAATGTATACCTCCAAAAGAGAAAGCTCTTTTGTTTACCAGGTGTGATAGATATAGCTACGTTCTATTGCATGTCTGCAGCATACATGTACTTTCAGTTTGTTATGTGCCCAAATTGTCTTATGTTCGGGCCCAAACAATGTCTACTTCTCACGAAAAGAATAAGCGTTGTCACCGAACTTTTTTTCTTAAATTCAAACCTCTACTCAACACAATAAATGACTCTTGTATAATTGAAACCATAAAAGCAAAACCTGTTTTCGGTTTTAATTAACGTACGCTTTTCTAATGTAAGATTTCTAAAAATTGATAAGAAAATTTTACTTTATTTTGCACACAGAGACCGAGTTCTATACAGCAAACGCTATGTAGCATTTTTTTTTGAAACACCTACTCCACTACTTCCTTTGAGAAATGTTGCAATTGTCTCCCATGTCGTGTTTTGAAGCGGCCTTTGTCAGTTGTTCAATGTTGCTTGTCTTCCCAGCTGGAACAATGTCATAAAAAAGCATTTGGACAGCCTTTTATTTGTTGTGTGTGTATGTGTGTGTGCGTGTGGCCTATACTTAGTGAGGGTCCATCCGCCCGTAAGGGCATAAAATGCAGCTTTCGCTGTCAAGTACGGAATCCGGACACGTCACCAGTCATGCCCTTAAAGAGTAAATCTTGAAGCACCCCTGAATCATGAAGTGAGGTGATCGGCGTGTGTCGTTGCACATGCGCCAGCTCTGATGATCCTTTGCATTATAAATGTCTGGTTATATATTTTCATAAAATTGTGATAACTTCGAACAGCTGTGAACTGTGCCAGTCAGTTTCGTTGTAAATTATATGTGTCAATGAATTAAATTAGTGGAATAAAACAAGTGAAAACGTGGGGGTGCCATAATTTGATTCTCCAGCTATTATATTGAAATAAAAAATGGCCGTTCTAGTAACTATACATTCAAATGATGTTATGAGCATAAGCCATCAAGTGTTTGCAATATATATGGCTACTCTCCACAAAATAATGTAAATTACTCGTAGTTTAATTTAAAGCATAGAATAAGAAGATTTGTTTTACAAATGTATTTCACGATAATTTTTAAATGGTAATAGAGCAGATAGCTTTGGTTTGGACACATCTGCGGATGTTTCTAAATTCAAAATTTCACCATTTTCGTGTCAAATGTTGAATTCTGCTCAAGCCGGTGCTAGGGGGCGTGGACGGTAACTTGCACTTTCCAGTACCGTCCATGAACAGGCTTAATCAAACCGAGCCTGCAACATTTTCAATTTTGTCGTGTTGGACTTTCTTTAGGGATTCTGTTTTTCTCTATTTTGGTATTAACAGCCAATTATAATCAATATGCCCATTTATTCGTTGTCAAGTTGAGCTTAATTCGCTAGTATATATTTTCAAAAGATCGATTTAAGTTTCAGCTTTTATTTTCTGTTGGAAAAACAACGTGCTGTTTCAAAACTAAGTATTTCAGTAATTTCATCTTGGAAAAGTGCATCATGTCACTGTTAAGCCTTCTTCAGAACTGCGTCCTGGAAGCTTCATAGTATTTATAACGCGTAATTGACGTTCGTTTCTAAAGATTGAAGATCGGGAACCAAATCGCCCGCTTTACTAATTTAAATATGGAGAGCGGACCGGTAGATTAGAGGTATCGAGGAGTTTCCTGTTTCATGTTTATAATTAAATTCTATCTTGAGCAAATTTCATAGTATATACATGCATGTGCACTCTCCATTTACACTTAGATGGGCATAATATCACTTTAAACGCTTTTATTTTCTGTTGGAAAAACAACGTGCTGTTTCAAAACTAAGTATTTCAGTAATTTCATCTTGGAAAAGTGCATCATGTCACTGTTAAGCCTTCTTCAGAACTGCGTCCTGGAAGCTACATGTATTCATAGTATTTATAACGCGTAATTGACGTTCGTTTCTAAAGATTGAAGATCGGGAACCAAATCGCCCGCTTTACTAATTTAAATATGGAGAGCGGACCGGTAGATTAGAGGTATCGAGGAGTTTCCTGTTTCATGTTTATAATTAAATTCTATCTTGAGCAAATTTCATAGTATATACATGCATGTGCACTCTCCATTTACACTTAGATGGGCATAATATCACTTTAAACGTAATAATAAAAATATGTATGATTTCAGTACACATGACAAATTCTGATATCAAATCTTTATCTTTTCTCTCAAACTAAATATGTTTTCATAATTAAGTGTTTTAGAGTCGAAAACAAAGACTACGCACGCACGGCACTTAAAACAACGCTCATGCGGTCGAGAATATTATTTTAATAAATTAGAGAGTTCCTAGACTGTTGACAGCTGATGAAAACTTACATTGAACAGATTAAACGGTTCTAGTTACGAGGGAATTCTTGAGACGATAGGAGAGGAACGACAAGAGATTCTTTGCGCACATTGTCATAACAAACGAATTTTAATGACCCCTAACCTAAGACAATTTATGGTTTGGAAACACAAATCGTCTCCACCACCACAGAAAGCAAGCGCTACAAAGTTATCCTAGAAAGTGACACCTAGCTAGAGTAATCGTAATGAAATTCTTTACGACGACATCAAATGGTGTTCCAAAGTGTCACGTGCACTCTATCATACATTTGGAATAATAAGCCACGTACGTTTCAATTTTTTAAAAGTTATTTACCATGTTCACATCAAGCATTTGCTATGGAGGTATAGACGATATATTTCGTTTACACATTTAATAACTATAATGCATCATCAGTACCGAAATTCTACATTTGTATTTGTCACAATTTTCCCGCAATTTCTAAAATAATCAGAGCCTTTTAAAATTTCTTTATCCTGAAATAAATTAATGAATAAAAAACTAATGATACCTTGTTAATATAAAGTTTTAATTTCGTGTTGCGTTGTAATTGATTCTGTCCTTTATTCACTTATTTTGTTTGTATGAAAGTTCTAGAACATTTCTGATTATAAAAGTTGCATTATCTGAAAGTTCATGTTTGGTAGTACCACGTACTGTAGTCCATTATGAAAAAATAACATTTGGTCCTATACTACCAACATAAGTTTCATTTTAAGTGTTTGAAAATAATGTTTAAAGAGCTCATATTTTCTGATCTAGAATCAAATTTGGCTTCTACTTTTGAAAACGGTCTCATTTTTCTTGTTTTTTCCCCCAAGCAGATTAACATAGGTAACAAACTATAATTGGAGAGGTCATCAGACCTCTCCATAGTGTTCAGACTGATTGCTGGCGGCATCCATTTTTGCGTATCTGATTGCAGTGAATGAATCTCATTTTAAGCGTAAAATCATTAGGAGCAGTCTACAAAAATTGTTTTGCGCATGCCCCGTTTCAAAACACGGCTTAACTTAAACGAAAAATTAACATGGAAGTGAACAAATCGGTACATAGAAAAATCGGAAAATATCATTTACGTTACTTAACACTACGTGCATGGACGCTTCATTCCGTAACTGTATAAATCGATTACCGTATTGTTTTCTGAATAACGTTTTACTATTTCATGTTCTGATAAATAGTTACAGTGAACATTATAGCTACAATATCACCATGCCCTAGATATACCGCCTTCCTGGTCGAGGGGATAGAGTCGATGACTTTTAATACAGTAAGCTCTCTGGCGTGGGTTCGATCCCCGGGAGATGCTTTTTTTTAGTTTAGCGCGGAGGAAGGTTGTCTAGTACTGGTGTAACTCTCCAGGAACGATGGTTAGGAAACCACCCGCCTATTTGACTAAAATACTGTTGGGAAAAGGCGTACAATGAAACAAACAAACATATTATATGACCGAGTGAACCGTGTATTGGTCCGGTATATCTAAATAACGCAAAAGGAGATTTTTTGGTGCAAATGGCACAAATTGTATCTCAAGATGGATTTTCTTCTAATATTGTGGTTGGAGGCATGCAGCTTTATATACCGTTTATTCCAATAAACAGTATATAACAGTATAACAGTATATAACAGTATTTACTGTTTATTCCAATCAAATGATATCAACATTTTTTATGTAAACTTGTTTGATTAACATACTTTATACTCGTTTTGGAAAATGTAGAGGAAATGCTTCCTTATATTTAACAAAACAGTGACCGAAAATTTGCTTATTGAACTTTACAAGAAACTTTTATTTTGAAAATACTTTTAATATATATATAATTTTTCTACAAAGGGAACTGAATTTAAAATACAAATGTAAATGATATATATCATTTAATTTACATTAAGTAATTTTACAATTTTTTTTTTTGTAGAAAAAGTATCCCTAATGCGCCAAGAAAAAAGTCCATTTCTCCGGCATATAATCTTTTAAAACATTAAAAAAGATGAAATGTAAAACAAACTTTCATTGCAATATATATAATAAATTCTATTTTGTTTAATAATTTGTAATTTATAAACATTCATTGTGTCTGTTATGCAAAAATATCCCCAAATATTTTCGAATTAAACAAATTTTCGACAGCAGCAAAAAGACCTCTCGCATGCTTCTTTTTGAAGAAGCAAACTTGTAGTATTTAGCGGCGTAGAACCGTAAGTCTGGTAAATCATCACGAAAACTTAATTCGTACGAGACACTGATAAGTTATTGAACTTGCATGTTTTCGTCTAAGGATTTTGGGATAAACGATAGCATTGACTTTTAAAAAATTTATATACTTTAGCAATAATAAAAGATTGTAAATAACAATATGAGGCTTTGATTAAATTTATTCAAATTTGCCAAATCATGTCATTGATGAATTTTGTCAGGACAGGGGCCATTCTTAAACGCGGTTTTCAGACACCAGCGATCAGGTGAGCTGCAAAAAATTAAATTATGTGTATTAATTGCACTTAAATATACATAACAACTGTAGCATCACGTTGTATACATTACTTTGGTTATTTTTAATACATACCAATCAAAATACAATAATGTCACTAAATAAAAAATAATTAATAAACATGGAGGGGGGGGGTTGTCCAACTAATTGTATACAATCATAAAGGCGAGACGAAATAGCACAGTATACTGCGCGACAAGATATTGTGCTATTTCGTGTCTGGGCAATATCTCTCCTCTACGAGATTCTGACCCAGAACTGACATATCTCAGAATCTAGCTTTTTTCACCTCAATATATTTAGACTTGGGGTGGAGAGGGGTTGCTGAGAGCAAGAAGAACTGTAGATAAGCCAAACTTGGGTCACAACCATTTCTCTTCATATGACACCAGTTAATCTATGAAGCAGTCTCGAGAGTTGTTCAAATAGGGCATGTATCTCAAGCTATGAAATGATATGAAATTTAAGCCTATGAAATGGGGAAGTTACTCGATCAGTATAAATATAATCGTTAATTTTTAGCTCGTATATTTGATAAGAATAAGTAGAGCTACTGTAGTCATCCAAACGTTGGCGTCCATGTAACCACTTATGTTAAAGTTTTTGTAATACCTCAAATTTTTTCAAAGTCAATTGACATATGGCTTTGAAACTTTGCACACTTGTTCACCATCATGACCCCAATCTGTAGACAGGAGAAGGTAACTGTATCAATATAAAGTTTCGAAAGGTATTTTCAAATCACTCAAGGTAATTGCATTGCTCTATTAGTATGTCTATTTTCCCATCCAATTCCTCCCACCCCTACAAATTTGATCGAGTACACTGGTATCATATTAGATTACTGTTGTAAAGAAAAAGATCATTTTGATGGTTATTCATTTTCTGTTATATTTAACAGGTGATGCTTTCATTCAAGTATGGAGTGAGAAGAGGCAAAGTTCAATTAATGATTTATATTTGAATTTATTTCTGTATTTCTGATATAATAAAAGCAATGCAATTGGCCAATCCTAATTATGTCTCGTTGTTTATTATGCTTAATAGCTTTTAAAGAGAATAAATAATTTATTTTCGTTTGGGAAAGCGATTTAGAAAGTAACTAGTAGTAAGTTTTTGTTTTATTTACAAACAAGACAAAAAATTAATTTAGTTTTCCCATTACCAGTCTGTCTTTTTATTTAGTGATACAGTCCTTTCAAGAACAAACATTCAACTATGGAAGGAAAAGATTCACACATGGCTTAAAGATAGGAAACTTTGTGTGAAGTCAAGAATCAGGTCAAATTTTCAGTCATCAAGACAGGAGACACAGGGGCATCATCATGTGGAAAACATTGTTATATTTTCTAGTCTCTCCATTGGATATTTTGTGATCAAAGGAGCTGGTTTTACTTTAGAATGTAAGGCACATAACCATAAATCTTCAAGATTAGTAAACTCTGAAGAAGACACGAATAAAAAGGATGTACCATTTGACTGGAAACAGTTGTTTGAATTACTATGGTTGGATATTGTATCTCTTTCAGTAGCAATTATAGTGAGTATAATTCTAAATTGGTCACACTTGTAAATTTTAGAATCCATTTTAGTGTGAAAACTTCAAGTTAAGAATTTATATACTTGTAGATGCTTTAAGGGCTTGTGCAGCTTCATTTTGTTTGAAATTTTGGCCACTTAATACATTTGAAATTTTGGCCACTTAATACAGTGCAACCTTTGCTGAGCTACCCACTGTAGATCTCTATATAACAACAGTATACTGACTTAGCGCAAAGAAAAAAATCATTGTAAGTTTTACCTCCCTAGATCAACACCTCTGAGCAACAATCAGTTTTTTTTACCTCCAAAAGGTGGTTACTATGCAGAGGTTGCACTGTGCTATAAATTGTAGCAAGTGACAAATGGCTATGTTACTTCTATAACTTTGATCTTTAAGTAACCAACTGAGTTTTTGCAACAGACTTGTACTTCATTCAGTTTGTGTATTAATTAATATTCATCATTGTTTGATAACGTTCACTTGACCATTATCTCAATCTGAAAACAATACAGTTTTGTTTTTTTATCTTTGAATTGTACATCTAATTAAATGTCCTACATGAAGGTATAATAAAATCTTGAGGCATTTATTGGAGGCAATTCTAGCTTGCAACAATGCATGACCTGTCAGTACTGAAATGTCATTAATAATGTTCATACTAACAGATTAATAATGTTCATACTAACAGATTAATAATGTTCATACTAACAGATTAATAATGTTCATACTAACAGATTAATAATTTTCATACTAACAGGTTAATAATGTACATACTAACAGATTAATAACATCCATACTAACAGATTAATAATGTTCATACTAACAGGTTAGTAATGTCCATACTAACAGGTTAATAATGTTCATACAAACAGATTAATAACGTTCATACTAATGAACCTGTAGGAATTCAATTCATTCTTTATGGGATTTACGCTGCAAATTTTAAAGGTTGTTTTCCTGCAAATTCATTCAGAAATAAACTGTTGATATTGTTCCAATAAGCACCATATACATATTACTATTCCATATTGGTGTGCCATTATCTGAGTTGTTTTTACAGTGTGCCCTTGCCGCAGCTCTTGTCAATATAAAGCTGCCATTGATGGTAGGAGATGTTGTCAACGTTGTTTCCAAGTTTGCTAAAGATTCCACAGGTGATTTTATGGCAGAAATAAAGAAACCAGCTCTAAAATTGATTGGAACATATCTCATTCAGGTACTTGTGTTTTCTGTCATTGAAATATGAATTATTACTTGAACATTTCATTATATACATGAATTTTGCATAGGTTTTTTTTTTTTAAACACAGCATTTTTGCAGTATTTATAACTTTGTTGACAGGCTATATGGCTTTGCATAAGCAGTTGCTTGCTATATAACCATTGCAAAGTGGCTCCGGTTATATAATCCTGAATTATGCAACCATTTATGCCAGCCATGTTATATAATCTGACCGAAAAACCTTTATAAGTAATAATAATAATAAATAATAAATAATAAACTAACTGGCAAGTATAAGTAAGGTATGATAATACAAGATGGTAGACCATTTTTACAGGTATTAGAAAATCCATGATTTGATCTTTGGACTTGTTTTCCTTTTTTGCGGTAATAATTTGCTTTATAAGTGTTTTGAAAAGTAAATTTAATGTTGTAATTTACCATGTAGATTATGACCTGGTTTTATAACCGTATATTTCAGGGTGCTCTTACAGTGTCATATATTTCCCTTCTCTCTAATGTTGGTGAAAATCTTGCAGCTCGGCTCCGCGTCAAGTTATTTGATTCCTTACTGAGACAAGATATACAGTTTTTTGATAAACACAAAACTGGAGAACTGGTAGATAGGTAAGAAATTCTTATCTTGAACATTGTTTTTATGAGTTTCAATTTCTAATCTTTGAAGTAAAGCTCTACTGGAACATGATAAGTCACTCTGTTATTTACAGACAAAATTATACCCTTTCAAAATTAACAAAAAAATGGCAGTATGGGAGAGGATTTTTTGTCACGGGTTATAAAAAATCAATTTGATGAATTTTCATAGCATAATAATAAAGGCAATTTAGATAAGATAGAACTGTTATATCCTCTCTCCATTTGGCTTTAACTTCTCTTGTATACAATGTTCTCTATGGGTACAGATACCCTGTCACAACAATCAGCAAGATAAAATGAGCCGCGTCATGACAAAACCAACATAGTGGGTTTGCGACCAGCATGGATCCAGACCAGCCTGCGCATCCGCGCAGTCTGATCAGGATCCATGCTGTTCGCTATCAGTTTCCCTACTTGTAATAGGGTTTGTAAGCGAACAGCATGGATCCTGATCAGACTGCGCGGATGAGCAGGCTGGTCTGGATCCATGCTGGTCGCAAACCCACTATGTTGGTTTTGTCATGACGGGGCTCAAATGGTTCCGCTTAAGCCCCTGACTGGATGAAATGATAACTTTGCTCATATCTTCCATGGCTTGTCCCGTTAATATTATGTCCCAGAGTGAAGGGAATGTAGGTTAATTAATATTAATATTTTTTTTTATATATTTCTAAATATATATAATTATGTAGATATTAAAAGAGCTTAGATGAAGTATCAAGTGCTTAAAATTGAATTTGGGGCATTGAAAAATCTTGTTTATTTTCGAAAGATTTAAACCTTTAACCTAATGCAACCGAAAGTGATTGGCCTTTGCCAAGAATATAGAGCCAGACCAGCAGCTGACCAGGCTTAATACTGGCTGCAGACTGACTTCAAATTTTCTTCTTGAAAACTCCAAAAATGATAATGGACTGGTCTTAAATTGGAAGTTGGTCAAGCCCATTTAGCAAATACAGGAAGATAAGGGTTAATATATTTCAAATACACTGATGGTGTTGGTGTTGGTAGTTTTCACTCCAGATCACAGCAGTAAGCCACATTAAATTTACAAGAGCATAGTTCAGCCACCGCGTTGTTCCTGAGCAGGCTGTCAAGCAGTTTTCCAGTACTAGTTGCCTTCACTTTTGTACATGCCAGAGCAGAGGTACAGTGCATGACTGTAGAAAGGATATCATGATCAATCACAATGAAAGTGAAAAGCACTGTCCGGAAATCAAACCAGGATTGCTTGATTAACAGTCCAACGCTCTCCCTATTGAGCTAACAGGGAGGTGCAAAACTTTACTGATTAAAGTTATTTTATGTGTCACATGTATGCAATATTAAATGTGCAAGTACGGTATATAATTTTCTATTACTATTGTTATAGGTTAACATCTGATATACAGGATTTTAAATCATCTTTCAAACTTTGTATATCTCAGGGATTACGTGCAGTAACTCAGGTAAGTTTTTCTTATCAGAATTCCCGGCCTTGAGGTTATAAACTTTTTCTAACCTTTCACACATATCTTAGGTTTTTCATTGGTCAGTGTATATTCTGTGACAATTTCTGACCAATCAGATACCTTGGTTTTCTGACCAATCAGATACCTTGGTTCAAGGTTTAAGACATTTCTTCAGTAACTGATTAATAAGAAACCGGCACAAATGTACACTGACCAATGAAAATCCAGAGATTTGAGATAAATCTGAGAAAAAAAATGTTTTATCACTTTGAGGCCTAATGTCTGAGTTCTAAGATGTATTTGTTATCTAGTAACCCATATAATTATTATATATGAGCCGCGTCACGACAAAACCAACATAGTGCGTTTGCGACCAGCATGGATCCAAACCAGCCTGCGCATCCGCGCAGTCTGATCAGGATCCATGCTGTTTGCTTACCAACTCTTTTACAAGTAGTGAAAATAATAGCGAACAGCATGGATCCTGATCAGACTGCTCGGATGCGCAGGCTGGTCTGGATCCATAATGGTCGCAAACCCATTATGTCGGTTTTGTTGTGACGCGGCTCATATGTTTTTGTATGACAGACCCGGAAAGATGCTTGTCCTTTTATAAAGGCTAGTGAAAGAAAAAAAAGATTCTCTGTTCCTTTAAGAAACATTCTGTAACAAAGGCATTGTAAACCACTAATACACAAGTACTTTTCTAATAGCCAAGGCTGTTTGTAATTTTATAATAAAATATTGTTGTTGGTGTTATATTTATTAACTCATCCTTATGTTATTTTGTTACAGACGGTCGGATGTATAGGAGCGTTGTGGATAATATCGCCTAAACTGACCGGAATTATGTGTGTAGTTATACCAGTGATCATCGGTATCGGAACATTTATGGGCAACGGTCTCCGATCTCTGTCCAAGTCTGCGCAAGCTCAGGTAAGGCAACAGAGAAGAGTAATGAGCCGTGTCATGACAAAACCAACATAGTGGGTTTGCGACCAGCATGGATCCAGACCAGCCTGCACATCCACGCACTCTGATCAGGATTCATGCTGTTCACTTACCAACTCTATTACAAGTGGAGAAACTGACAGGGAACAGCATGGATCCTGATCCTGGTCTGGATCCATGCTGGTCACAAACCAACTATGTTGGTTTTGTCGTGGCACGGCTCAGTTCTTTTTCGGGTCTTCATACCTGACAGTTCAAACTCATTCTCAATGTCTTATTAGTACAATTATTTTGCATCAGGCCCTTTGTGTATATTGTTTAATTTCCATTTTTTTTCTTGCTCTCAAACATCATGTTTTATCCTTACCATGCTAAATATCTTAAATGGACTTGTCCATCTTTTAATCTGGACAAAAGCATTCATCATTTTTGACAAAATTTCAAAATAATTGAATAGCAAACAGTGCAGACCATGATCAGACGACATTGATGTGCAGGATGATCTTGGTCTGCAATGGTTGCATGTGTCACTTCTCTTGCCTCTGGCAGGCAAAGGCTAAGATCTCACAAAGCAGTGAAGGTCAGCTTCTGTCAGATACATTTATGTCGTCAACAGTCAAGCTGAATCATTTTAGGTTTAGCTGAATTATTTTTAAAAAGATAAAAAAAAAGTTTTTTTTAAGGTTTATACAAGATTTATCCCACTTTTTAAAAAAGGTAGATATTTTTTTAAAGATTTATACAAGATTAATACCACTGTTTTCAGGTATCTAAGTCAACAGGGGTAGCAGATGAGGCACTAGGAAATGTTAGAACTGTTCGGGCTTTCGCAATGGAAGGCAAAGAACATGAGTAAATAATTTTAATGTATCATGAATCAATAGCCATGTTTGAATTGGAAATTTGCAGCCACTTTTGAATTAGAAATTTGCAGCCACTTTTGAATTAGAAATTTGCAGCCACTTTTGAATTGGAAATTTGCAGCCACTTTTGAATTCGAAATTTGCAGCAACTTTTGAATTAGAAATTTGCAGCCACTTTTGAATTAGAAATTTGCAGCCACTTTTGAATTGGAAATTTGCAGCAACTTCTGAATTAGAAATTTGCAGCCACTTTTGAATTGGAAATTTGCAGCCACTTTTGAATTAGAAATTTGCAGGAAATACATGTATCATGGATATACAGTCATGATTATATTCAAATTTTTATGACAGATTTAATCGATGTGTAGCCATGATTGTATTAAATGTACAAGACGTGGGTCTATGATCGATTAATGAACTTAAGGGTTAACTATTTATAAAATAACAGGCTCCTGTGTTTTGTTTTTTGTCACAAAAAAGATGCGGGAAACAAATTATCTAGTTATAAATTGTTATTTTGTCTTATTGCAGATTGTTTTCCCAGGAAGTTGACATGGCTCGGAAGTTGAATATCCGACTTGGTGTGGGTATAGGAATGTTCCAAGGTCTCGCAAATATAGCTTTAAATGGTGAGTGGTACAATGTTTATCTTTTGTTTGTTTTGTTGGTTTTAAAGTCGAAACCACTCTGTACAGGTCATTTTTTTATATCATTGTCTGTAATGGTCACTGGTCTGTAACCCAGAGACCAGTAAATCATCCTGTAGGCATGTAAAAATAAATACTGAGCAGAATTTACGATGATATTTTTTTTAATTGATGTTTTTAGCTCAACTATTTGAAGAATAGAGACCGCTATTATACTGACCCTGGTGTCTGTGTCACACTTTGGTTCAGTATTTGTGTGCAAGTTAATAACTGCAAAAAAACTAAAGTGAATGGGTTGAAACTTCACATACTTGATTGAGAGTATAATTCAGGGTCACTCTTTAAGGCCCATAACTCTAACATGGATTTTGTCAGAATTATTGGCCTTTTTGACTTGATCAGAATCCATGTTAGAGTTATGGGCCTTTTTGAAAATTCTACATTGTCCAGTATCAGGCACTGTGAATAGTTGAGCACTATTGTTAGTGACAGAAATAATAATTATATATTGTTTATTCAGTTTATAGACCTTATTAAAGTTGAAAGTACTCCCAACTGTAATATTAAACTGGGTACAGTATCAAAAATCTTTATCAAACTTGCATCAGTTTTAAGGTTTCAACTTTGACTGTTTCATTGTATGAACTTTTATTAAATAAGAATGGTGGTTTCCGAACTTGACCCATGAGGGTCAGGTTAGAGCGTTACGATTTCACAAAATAGTTGTTTAAGTAAACTCTGGAGACATTAAAAACATGAAATGAATGACTTAGATTTGTTTCAATCATAGAATATCCACAATATCTGTTATCGCAACTTCCAGGATTTGTTCAAAGTTCATTACTTGTTATTCTGTAATTTTGTCAGCGTCTTAATTTCGTTCAACATATATATAGATGTATTAATGCTTCAAACCCAAATAGATGTATTTACGCTTCAAACCCAAAATATATAGAATGTATACAGAAATTCATGCTGGGACTTTAAAAAATGTGATTTTATCATGATTTGGGTACATAAGATCATTTTAATATTTTTGTCATTAATTTGCCTAAGTATTCCTGTATGTTGTATTTGGGGTTGTATACGTCATGTACCACACTTAAGTGAAATTATATATACATGTATATGAATTGTATATAAATATGCTTATAAAACAATTTTCAAACATTGAAGAATATGTAAAATATGTACTGCAATTATTTGTACATGTAGAAAAATATTATATGTTATCATTAAAATATATGCATTCATTTCTTATTGAAAAAAATGACTTAGATTTTATAGAAAATAAATTTTTTATTACCTCACTTTATTTACATGAAATGTTAAATTCAGTAATATCCTTATAGATAAGGCTTTTTGGAACTTGCAAAATTAATAAATCTTAATTTGAGCATCATATTCATACATGTGAACTCTCCCACTTTTAGCGGGAGACTACCACTTGCTGCAGCCATATTTGCAAAGATTTTTCTTAAAATAAGGGGTATTTTCACAAATTAAAGAAATCTCCCTATTTTTGATGTCAGAACTTTGTTCTTTGTTTATTGCAAATTCTAAAATCTCCCTCTTTTTGAAGAAAAAACTCCCACTTGATCATGAATAAAAGTTCACATGTATGTATATATATGATATAAAACCATAAAAAAATTGTGTTAAGGATCTTAAAATCATCATTATTACATAGTACTAATGACATGTCATGTAATCATTTAATATGACAGGTATAGTGTTGGGAACTCTCTTTGTTGGAGGACAGTTTATGTCTAGAGGGGACATAACAGCTGGAGATCTTATGTCTTTTTTAGTGGCCACACAAACTGTTGAAAGGTTTGTTATACCCTTACTTTTTTATTGACATTTGTTGATTATTTAAAGGTTTTTATGTGAGGAAATATAAAGTCATTCATTCACCAGTCCAACTAGTAGAGCTGTTGATAGAGAGGATATTGTATCGTTGATATTTTTCTGTTGATCAATAATCGATACACATTTGAAAAAATCAATTATTTTGATGTCTATAAGTTATGAAAATTCACTAAGAACATTTACAAAGCATACCTACTGAAAGTAATGGATTGAAAATCTACACACTTGTTGTCTGTGATTATCTAACATGATTGGCACAAGTCACATAACTCTGATTTGCTTTTTTGCATATTTATGCCCCTTTTTTGACTTAGAAATTCTTGGTTAAGTTTTTGCGTGTAAGCTGGTTTCTCCATAACTACTGAAAGGAATGAATTCAAACTTCACGCACTTGTTCTCTGTGATTATCTAACATGATTGGCACAAGTGACGTCCAATAACTCTGATTTGCTTTTTTGGATATTTATGCCCTTTTCGACTTAGAAATTCTTGGTTAAGTTTTTGTGTGTAAGCTGGTATCTCCATAACTACTGAAGGGAAAGGATTGAAACTTCACACACTTGTTCTCTGTCATTATCTTACATGATTTGGCACAAGTCCCATAACTCTGAATTACTTTTTGCATATTAATGCCCTTTTTTTGCTTAGAAATTTCTTATGTTTAGTTTTTGCTGTAAGCTGGTATCTCCATAACTACTGAAGGGAATGGATTGAAACTTCACACACTTATTCTCTGTGATTATCTAACATGATTGGCACAAGTCCCATAACTCTTATTTGTTTTTATGCATATTTATGCCCCTTTTTTCAGCTTATAAATTCTTGGGTTTGTGCTTTTTTTGTGACAAATTTTTGCATTCATAATAATCAAGCAGTGATTTACTTGATAAAACATTTTAACAACAAGCCTTTATACCTTTTTTTGACAATTCTATATATTCATATAGTTAAGCATTATTTACTCAATGAAAGACCCTTGTGACAACACTTTCTAGTTGTTGAGCATTGCTATTCTCTGACAGCTCTTGTTATATAAAATACTGTTCAATGTACTATATCTGTGTGGAAGTTCACTACATTATTACAATTTGATTTTCAGTTGAACATAATTTTGGGTTAAGGTCATTTTGTTTTGAAATTTAAGATTAATATTTTACTTTTTTTAATCAGATCACTTGCTCAGATGTCAGTACTGTTTGGTCAAGTGGTTAGGGGCATGAGTGCTGGATCTCGAGTATTTGAGGTACTGGGTATTCTTACTTTTTCTTATTCTTTACTATTTATTTTTGTTCCATATAATTTATATGTATCTAAAATCTGCTAAATTCAAAGTATATGTATATTGTAATCTAGATTTGTTTTCTTCAAGTCTGTTTGCAATGTGGGTTAAATTATCTTCATAACTTGTAATAAATCTTCATCCTGAAACAATGCATGGTTTGTGAAACACCTGTTTTAAAAAGTGAAGGTCATTTAAGGTCAAGGTCACTTGCAGGTCAAATTTTAAGAATAAGCTTGCCAAGGATATTCTTATTGTTCACTTAAAACGAAATTAGAATTTGACACCAAGACCTTTGTTATGGAGAGTAGGTATTATGTATAAGCAGACAGTTCAAGGTCAGATTAAGGTCAAGTTGAATGACAAAGATAAAATTAGTATATGAGCAATGGGTCTGCAGGCATGTATATAAGTTAGAAAATTTGTAACCTGAAAACTTTTGTCATACAATCAATTTGAAAACAATTACCAGGTAGATTTTGTAATAAGACTAAGAATTATAATTCTGAACAATTTTGCAAATTGATTGTTGTTGTTGTTGTTGTTGTTGTTTTCAGTACATTAACCATGAATTTAGCATTCCACTGGAGGGTGGGAAGAAGATTGCATTTCATGCTCTACAAGGTGATATAGAGTTTACTAATGTACACTTCAGTTATCCCACACGCCCAGAACAGGTAAGTCTCATTCTTGCTCAATTTGTATAATGGATTTGCCCTGTTTTTGATTTTGGAACAGTCCATTCAAAGTTTCAGGGATTTCAGTATCAAAATATAAACATTGAGCTTCCAACGGTACAGATTTGTGCTATTCAACTTGGCTCTGGTTGGCAAAGGTTTAAACATTTTCTGTTAAAGTTTATTTAACATATCATCCGGTTAATTCATATAAGTTATGCAAATTCGGCATATGCGTGCATACTTATTTGAAAGTATTAAACAAAAGATGATTTTCTTTTCTGTGTGTTTACATAGTATAATATAGTTGAGTAAGAAAAATACTCACCTTGGTGTTGATATTACTTTATTGTATCCATTGGCTATAATTTTGCATGCATATGCTGATAGGCGCTAACAATATTTTCTTTAAACTTCATAAGTGTGTCACATCACATGATATACCTCCATGTATGGAGCATGGACTTCTTTTGAATGATTTTCCTCTTTGCGAAGTCTTGTTGGCCTGGCCCGATTTTTTAGCTCGATTATTCGAAGAAAAGAGAGAGCTATTGAACAAGCCCTTTAACTCTAACATTGCTATTATTGCCTTCTTTGAACATAGAAAATTCTATATTATCCAGACTGAAAATTCTCCTGTTTTACTATCAACCACTGAGAATAATCAAGCAGGCTGTCCTACCAACACCTCTTGCAGGGGGGATTCACTCATATTTTTGAAAAAATCCCCCCTATTTTTTCAGAGGCAAGAGGAAAATATTACATAGAGAAAGAAGGAAAAAGATCAACAAATGTAATAAATTTTCACTTTTCGATAAAAATCTTTGCTGTTTTTCGAATCTTAGAATAGACACTTCTCTTGTTTTCTTGGCCAAAAGGTCGAATGTGTGATTTTTGGTTATAATGTTATTTTGATGTTGATTATGTATTTATCTTTCAGGAAGTGTTGAAAGATTTTAGTTTGAAAATACCTCATGGTAAAACTGTGGCACTGGTGGGATCATCAGGGGGAGGTGTGTTACTTATGTATTCTTGCCTCTGATTGGTTGGATTTTAATACATGAACTTTAATTCGAATTTAAATTCAACCAATTGTTAAGAACCTTTGTAATATGCATTATTATTGTGTGCTTTTATGTAAGCTGGGATTTGAAATTTGATTCAAACTTGAACATCTGATTGGTTGTCTTTGTTCATGGTTTTGAAAATTGACCAATCATAAATGAAGTTTTAGAGAAAAGGATGGTTTTGTCTTTGTTTTTTTTTTTTATTAAAAGATATATTTTTCTCACATTTGAAAATACTAATAAGTGCTACACAGTTTCTTTTAAAATGTAAAATAAATATCTTTCGAGTACACACAGAAAAGATGTTATGTTTTGTTGGATAACATCGTTTTAAGTATTGAAAAAAGTGTGTTTTTTAAATAGTCTAATAAACAATCAGACATATTCAGTTAGAATTTGCTAGATTTCATAAAATTTCTGCAATTTAAGTATTTTACACAAAGATGGACATAAGACATCTTTAAATGGTGAATGTATTGCATTTTTTTTAACAGGAAAGTCAAGAATCATATGTTACAGATATATATGTTTAAATGGGGCGTACAGGTGGTTCTAGTTGTTGACTTCAAAACCATTTGCCCCTCATTGCTGTGATTCCAATCCCACCAGGGACTTCATCTTTAAATGGTGAATGTATTGTATAATATTTTACAGGAAAGTCAACTATAGCAGCACTATTGGAGAGATTTTATGACATTGATTCAGGAAAGATAACTATTGATGGCGAAAATGTACGTGACCTTGACCCTAGTTGGCTTCGAGGTCGGGCTATTGGATTTATTAATCAGGTAATTTTGTTTACCTATGTGTTTACCTGTGTTTATGAAGGGAGTGAGGGGAGAGAAAGGTAAAAATGCCAAATTTCTTAAATGGACTTGTCCGGCTTGTGCCTGAAATAATCAATGCGGAATAGGGTGAAACCTAAGGTCATCTACTGCCATTAAAGCTGGAAAGCAGTCATAAGACCTCTACTGTGTTTGTGCAACATAGAACTGTTAACAAACCAAAAAAAAAATGTGTTAAATAGTACTATAATTGTAATTTTGTTTTGCAGGAACCAGTTTTATTTGCTACTTCTGTGTTAGAGAATATAAGGTATGGCAGACCAGATGCGACAGACATTGAGGTATATATAAGTTGAACTGATTGTTTTAGGGCCAATTTAGCTTACAGTTTTAACTTTTCAACTTTATAGACAATATATTTTAAGGCAGTCCTCAAGGGTAATGACTGATAACAATTACAGTACCTTTTTATAGGCTGGATTTGTGTAGCATTGAATTTTGAACAGTCCATTGGAAGTTAAAAGCTACATACCTCCAGATGAGTCAAAATATTTCAATAAAATAAAACTTGAGAAAATGTACTAAGATGTAAGGAAAAGTAAAAAGTTTCAAGATTCAAGTAATATTTTACATATTGAGAGCTATTAATGACTGATTTTTTAGTATTTACAACTATGTTTCTACTGCGTTACTAACACAGTAAGGGCTATTTATGCATACTTTAACCACTTTTTGGTTATTTGCGTAGTTTGTAAGCGCTATTGATAATGTGTAAATTGCTTCCTTTTGGTTACTTCACAATATTACACATTCAAATACATTTTCAAAATTTTCTTGAAAATTAGCATAAATCTGGAGGCATGCTGCTTTAAAGGATTTCAGTAAGAAAGTAAAAAAAAAAATTAGCTTGCAACCAATTATAACACATGAAAAATACAGTTATATGTTTACTAAAGAGATATAATAATAAAATATCTTATACAGAAATAATTGATAAAAAAGTTTAATACATGAATCATACAATTTAATGTTTTATGCTGAAATTATGCAGTTTTATACAGAAATAATACTATTACATGTTTTATACAGAAATACATTGTACATTTAATACAGTAAATGCTGCTTTTTTATAGAAATAATACAATTATACAAATATTAATAATATTAGGTATTTGAAGCAGCAGCACAAGCCAATGCCCATGACTTTATTGTTGGATTCCCCAATGGGTATAAAACTGTGTTAGGGGAGCGAGGAGTGACCGTCTCTGGGGGTCAGAAACAAAGGATTGCCATAGCAAGGGCCCTAATTAAAAATCCATCAATCCTTATACTAGATGAAGCTACAAGGTACGCCTTTAATTCAGATAGCACACTTAGCTTGATAGAGATCAGTGTATGTACAGTTCATTTTGTAACCAGGATAATATATCATTTGCTGCAGACATTTTTAGATTTAGCTTGACTGTTCTTTTCAAAGAAAAATGAAAGATAGTGTACTCACCCTATGTCGGTGCGGGCATCACATTAGGTTTTTGTGATTGGTTTCTACAAAACTACTGGAGCCAATGGGTTGAAACTTCACACGATTGTTCTCTGTGATTACCCAACATAATGGGCACAGGCTCAATAAATCTTGAGTTCACATTTTACAGAGTTATGACCCCTGAGCTGTTGTTAACTCTGCCTTCTGGACAGCACTTGTTTTCATATTTATTCTGACCTGTAATAGGATACATGATTTCTATCAAAGATTATGCTTATTTACTAATAAGCCATATTCTCTTAAAGTCTAGAATATGGGATACTGGTTCCTCTGTAAGTATATGGTTCCTCATTTTTTTTTTTTTAATTAATGCCAGAGTTATTGCCCTTGAGTTTGACAAATTTATGTGAATACAGAAATTATTCAATAACTTGCTTATATTTCAGTGCACTAGATGCTGAATCTGAGAGAATAGTACAAGAAGCTTTAGATACAGTATCTCGAGGTGAGGCTGATCTAAGTCATCCGTGTACATGTATACTATCTTAAAGGCACATTTTGCCTCAGAAACTCATATTTTTTAATTCTTTAGAAAAGTGAAGCTTGTGTTTAATAATGTTTTAATAATGGATTAAAGACATGTTAGATGTTTAACAACTGAAGAAAGTAACATTGAATGTGCAGTAATGTGTTGTGAAGGTAGCAAAATGTAAACAAAGAAGTATTTTGACTTCCATACAAAATACAAATTTAAGATAATCATACCAATTGCTAATAGAGCAAAACTAGCAGAAGATAGTTCATGAAGATGGCTTATAAGTATTTTTTGGGAAACTTTAACGAATAAAATTGATAGTATTTCTGAGACTTAATATGCCAAAAATAAGCAAAATGATCTGTAAATAAAAGCTAAAATATCTTTGATGATTATTTTTTTGTGTGAAAAGTATTTTCGATTAGTATTTCTAATAATTACTTGTTAAAATAGAGCATATGTTTTAGTAAATGGTAACAAATGGATATAAATTGTATCGTGTGTAGTTCTTAAAAAGCAAATTCAGAAGACTTCCTTTCACCTTGACTATCTTCTTGTCATGTGATCAAGGTCAAAAAAGGTCACAAGGTGCAAAATACACTATCCCAGTTAAAACTATTGATGTTTATGATTTTAATCCAATAAATGCATTGTAAACGTAAATCCATAAAGAAATAACACATTTTTTTTCTCTATATAGGGCGTACTGTCCTGGTGATAGCTCATAGATTGAGTACTATACGAGATGCCGATGTTATAGCAGTAGTAGCTAATGGCAAAATTGTGGAGGTATGGTTTTGTTATTTGTTGTTGTTGTTGTTTTTGGGTGGGGAGGGGGGTGGGGGCACAGAGGGTGTTATTGGGAAGGGGTTTTATATTGCATCAATACAATAGAGATCATAATATGGCATCTTTCTAAGTTTACTGCTGGAGGAAGACCTCAGGTGCCCTTCCGTGCATTATTTCAGGCATAAACAGACACCTGAGTAGAACCACCAGTTTTCGGTAAGCTAGCTGGATAGCTTCTTCCTCACATGAAAGAATCCAAAGTTCTTTGAAGGGTTCGGACCCACAGCGGTGAGGAGCAAGTGGTTAAAAGTCAATGACCTTAACCACTCAGCCATGGACTTTTTGTATGTGATAATGGCAATCATTTGGAGCCAGGACTAAAAAAAAAAACAAAAAAAAAAAAAAAATTCAGCTGCTTAAATTGAGGTGCTGTTCCAGGCTTCTCTTCTGTGCAATGTTGCCATGCTATGTACAAGTACTTTATCTTCTCACACTCAGAATTCTGATACCTAAATGAATAACACAAAATCAAAAGCAGTGCTAATATGTAAAAAAAAAATCTGGACAAAATGTAATCCTGCGGAAGCATTAATCACAATAAAATTACATGAAAATTGCAGACTCAGTTTGATTGAGTCTGTACACAAATTCAACATGATAAGTTCATTATTATGTTTAGGAATTAGAAATGGAAAGTTGAATGTTTATTTATAAACAAGTGTTAAATTTTTGAACCATGAACCAATCATGTTTCCTTGCTTTATGTGTTTAATCAAATCACTGAGTCTAATCACAAATTTCCATATTTTTCTTCATGGGAAAGCCATGTCTTTTGTATGATTATTATTTCATTAAAGGGACTCCACTAAGGTTTTTCGACATGACTGGCAATTTTTTAGGAGATTTCTGTTTGATATAGGTCTACATCCATTATTTGTGTGCAAATTTTCGGCTATTTGCTCACTGTTTTGCTAGAATGATTTTTGTACTTGTGAGAAATGACGCAAAATTGATTTTAGCTCAAGTTTTTAGGCTTTTCGACCTAAGTGGAATATGATGATGATCATCATTATTTAATCATTGTAGATTGGGAACCATGATTATTATTTTGTTAATTATCATCGTCATTATCATCGTCATCATACTTTAATCATTGCAGATTGGGAACCATGATTATTATTTTATTAATCAACATCTTGATCATCATCATCATTATTTAATCATTGCAGATTGATAACGATGATAATTATTTTATTAATCATCGTCGTCATCATCATCATCATCATTATGTTATCATTGCAGATTGGGGAGCATGATTATTGTTTTATTAATCATCGTCGTCATTATCATCATCATCATTATTTAATCATTGTAGATTGGGAACCATGATTATTGTTTTATTAATCATCATCATCGTCATCATCATTATTTAATCATTGCAGATTGGGAACCATGATTATTATTTTATTAATCATCATCGTCAACATTATAATCATCATCATCATTTTATCATTGTAGATCGGTAACCATGACAGTTTAAAGAAGAAGAAAGGACTTTACTGGGAACTTATCCAACAACAAGAGATTGAAGAGGAAATACAGCATTTTAAATTCTAAAATTTTGCTACAAAAATATTTATAAAACTTTTTGTAATATTTATATATAATATTTTTAGAAAATAAGAAGTAATGAACAGTTTTGAAGTATATTATGTGTTATTAATTCATTGTGCCGGAATATTAAATAAGAGTATTAAAACAAGAGGGCCATGATGGCCCTGAGGTCGCTCACCTGTATATAGGCCCCCCAACCCCCCCCCCCCCCAACGTTGCAGAGCCAATTTAACCCAAGAGCTTTTATTTGCACAAACTTGGTAGACACCCATAAGAAGATGTTTCATGCTAAACATTTAAGCTCTAGCTCATTGGGCTTTTTAAAAGAAGATTTTTTTAAAGTTTTTACTATACACATATAGTTAAAAACAATGACACCCCTGGGGCAGGGCCAGTTTTGACCCCAGGGCTTTTATTTGAACAAACTTTGTAGACACTTACTAGAAGATGTTTCATGCTTAATATCTAAACTCTAGCTATTTGGGTTTTTTCAAAGAAGATTTAAAGTTTTTGCTAAACACATATAAAGAAAATCAATGACCCCCCGGGCGGGGCCAATTTTGACCCCTGGGCTTGTATTTGAACAAACTTGGTAGACACCTATTAGAACATGTTTGATGCTCAATATCTTAGCCATAGCTCTTTGAGTTCTTTAAAAGAAGATTTTTTAAGTTTTTACTATATGCATATAGGGAAAATCAATGACCCCCCGGGGCGGGGCCAATTTTCACCCCAGGGCTTTTATTTGAACAAACTTGGTAGACACCCATTAGAACATGTTTCATGCTAAATATCTTAGCTCTAGCTCTTTGGGTTCTTTAAAAGAAGATTTTTTAAGTTTTTACTTTATGCATATAGGGAAAATCAATGACCCCCCGGGGCGGGGCCAATTTTGACCCCAGGGCTTTTATTTGAACAAACTTGGTAGACACACACTAGAAGATGTTTCATGCCAAATATCTAAGCTCTAGCTCTTTGAGTTCTTTAAAAGAAGATTTTTAAGTTTTTACTATATGCATATAGGGAAAATCAATGACCCCCGGGGCGGGGCCAATTTTCACCCTAGGGCTTTTATTTGAACAAACTTGGTAGACACCCATTAGAACATGTTTCATGCCAAATATCTAAGCTCTAGCTCTTTGGGTTCTTTAAAAGAAGATTTTTTAAGTTTTTACTATATGCATATAGGGAAAATCAATGATCCCCCGGGGCGGGGCCAATTTTGACCCCAGGGCTTTTATTTGAACAAACTTGGTAGACACTCACTAGAAGATGTTTCATGCCAAATATCTAAGCTCTAGCTCTTACAGTTCTTTAAAAGAAGATTTTTTAAGTTTTTACTATATGCATATAGGGAAAATCAATGATCCCCCGGGGCGGGGCCAATTTTGACCCCAGGGCTTTTATTTGAACAAACTTGGTAGACACCCATTAGAACATGTTTCATGCTAAATATCTTAGCTCTAGCTCTTTGGGTTCTTTAAAAGAAGATTTTTTTAAGTTTTTACTATATGCATATAGGGAAAATCAATGACCCCCCGGGGCGGGGCCAATTTTGACCCCAGGGCTTTTATTTGAACAAACTTGGTAGACACTCACTAGAAGATGTTTCATGCTAAATATCTAAGCTCTAGCTCTTATGGTTTTTTAAAAGAAGATATTTAAAGTTTTTTCTTTCGGTTACCATGGCAACCAGAGTTTTGCATGGAATTAAATTCTTTGAACAATTTTTAAAGGTGACCACCAAAGGAACATTCCTGTGAAGTTTGGATGAAATTGGCTTAGTGGTTTATGAGGAGATGTCATTTAAAGTAAAAGTTTACGGACGGACGCCGGACGAAAAGCGATCACAAAAGCTCACCCTGTCACTTTGTGACAGGTGAGCTAAAAAGACGGTTATTTAAAAAAATATTGTGTTTTTGTTTCTTTCATCTTTTTAGTCCGAGTTTTCTCAGTTTCCGAAGAAACTGTGGGTTCTTAAAGGAGATCTGCTGATGTAAGAAAGCCTATAAACATAAAATTAGAAGACTAAACGTTGAAAGCTATTAGAAAAGCGTTTGTTTTTATTGAACAGATCACACAAACACACACATAACACATATATAGGATACAATTAACTTAAACGATTTACCATCTGGATTTACCCTGCTTTGCATTTTGAACTATCCTTTGGAAATGGAAGGGTTTCAATATCAAAATATGATAAAAATATCACAAACCAACACAGTTTATCAAAACATGTTTGGCTTAATGACAGTTGATATGATAAATAAAATAGAAAATGACGTACACATACAAAACAGATGTCGTGGTTGAGTGGTTAACGCGTCAAACTAGTTATCTAAGGATTGTTGACCGCATGGGTTCAAACCCTGACAGGGGCAACTTTTTGTTTCCTTGAGCAAGAAACTTCACATTCATTGCTGAGTACTGATTGGTTCCAGGAATGGATTTAAGACTGTTTCAGTAAGCTTATAGCTTCCAACACAATCGAACTAAAATAAATTTGTAAAAACTAAACTGATGTCTACATTAATAGATGCCACATTTGGTGTGTGAAAGAAACGTTGTATAATAAAAAATAAAAAGTCTATTACTGTTTTATATCTTCTGAAGAAGACTTAAACGTCAAAAGCTAAAGAAAGGCGTTTGTTTTCATATATAAAAAATTATATAAAATATGTACATGTGTATATATAGACATAATTATTTTAAAGAGCATATTATATTTTTGGGAAGATTTTCATAAAATAACTGGACCCAATGATACGAGTACATACATTTTCACAGAGAAACTAGGCTAGAATATCAAAATATGTAATACATTTGTGCAGGCTGGCTCTATACTAATGGCAAAAGGCTGGTCATTTCCAGTTCCAGCAGGTAATGGGATACAGGTTAATATGGGTTAATAAGTTAATTGAATAAAATAAGTTACAAAGAAAATATATTTGAAAATTTACGGAAGTACATTTTCTTTAAAAGATTAGAAACCAGTTATTAGTCAATTATAGCTACCCTAGAACGGTTTGCCCAAATTATAGCTATAAATGGAAGATGCGCGGCCTCCAGACATTTCTGTAATTAGTACAAGCACCTGGATATAATAAATGACTCTCAATAAGCTATGTAGATGACTTGCATTAAGCATAGTGTCCTTTGTCAGGAGTATTTACAGTAATAATTAAGGTACATAACTGTCATAATATTTTTGCCTCAAGCAAATGCTTTCAATTCTTTCTTTTTTTTCCCCTTTCCCCACTTGTCGGAGATTGAGATTCTAATTATTAGCTTTCCATATTGGGATGCAGGGAGTTGACTGTAAGGTTAGGTGAAATTATTCTAGCTTACAGTTTAACCTTAGTGAGATGGGTTTTAAAGCTGCATGCCTCCAGATTTATGCTAATTTTCATGAAAAATTTTAAAATGTACATGTATATAAAAGTAAAATTTTATTGTTTAGTGAACAAAAAAAATATTTTACACATTGCAAACAGCACATGCAATCCACATACATTACCAAAAAGAGCTCAAAGTAAGTAAAAATAGCTCATACTGTGTTAGTAACGCAGTAGAAATTATGGTGATAAATACTGCAAAATAAATCCTGAATCACATATAACATGTAAACTATTTAAATCTTTTTACCTTTCTTAAAAGCTTAGTACTTTTTTCTTCAGGAAAATCAGGAAAATTTTACTTCTCTTAATATCTGAGTACATTTTTCTCAAGTTTTATTTTCTTAAAATATTTGACTCATCTGGAGGCATGCAGCTTTAAGTTATACAGAAACTTTCATGGTCATTTGAAGACTGACAGCCATAATTGTCAAGGAAAAAAACTCATGTACCCTACTTCTCAATTATTTTTTTCAGACTAGAACATGCTTAAGGTCACTTTTCATGTATGAAATTTGAGTATATATCCAGACTTTTAAAGCTGCATGCCTCCATATGAACATAAATATTTCAAGAAAATCAAACTTGAGAAAAAAGTATATTAAGAAAAGTAAAAAAAATTCAAGACAAAAGTAATACCTTACATGCTATGTGCAATTTATGACCAATTTTGCAGACTTTTTACCATGTAACTACATGTACCATGTTAACTAACACAGCTATTGCATATTTTGACCTTTTTGAAAATTTACATGGATTGTAAATGTTGTTTGCAATGTGAAAATTATTTTCTTTGTTCACTTTACAATGTTTTACTTCTTAACCCTTTACCCCATATATACGCGAAACAACGCACTTTCGACCCCGCCCCCCCCCCCCCCCCCCCCCTTATTTTAGGCCTAAAATAGTAAAAAAAATGTACTATTTGGGCCCCAAACACATGTTTTCGTTTGAGAAATGTTGCTAAAAAAGTGAGCACTTTTTTGGCGCCGCCCCCCATCCAAAAGATACATCAGGGGGTTGCCAAAAGGGGGATGTGCCCCCTTCTGTTTTGGGGGGTTTGAAGGGGGGCGGAGTCCCCCTCATTGCCAAGAAAATTTTGGACTTGTGAGAGGCTAAAAATGACCCCAGGTCAATCATAAGGTAACGTGTAACCAACGCTGAAAAGCCTTTGACTCTATCTCAATCCCTTGAGAAGTTGAAGCACTTTGAAATAAAATTTGATGGAAAAAATCGAGGCAAAATAGTGATTTTGGGCAATTTTGAGATGTCCCCTTGTTGCCATGGTAACAGGAAATTTAAGACTGAGCAAGTTGTTACAAAGGCAATGGTCGAGTCAACATTTGTGCCAAGTTTGATTAATATTGAAGCATTTTTCATAGTTTCATAGCAGTTTGAACTTGTAACAGGAGGCTTTTCAGTGAAAACGGCCATTTTTCACAATATGCTCATGAGGGAAAGGGTTAATTCATTTTAAAAACTTTCATGAAAATTAGCATAAATCTGGAGGCGTGCTGCTTTAACAATTTTATACATTTAGCATTTCTTGGAACAAAGCTGGTGTCTTACTCAGCAGCTTTCAGGTAATGACCCAAATGGTCATGGTCAAAAATTGTATTTAATAGGTCATAATTCTTAACATACATTGAACAATTATCTTTATTTCTATATAAATAATTATCAGGGTGGAACATACATGTATATATCAAAATTAATAAGTTTATGCCATGGTCTATACCCAGGTCTTGTGTCAAATGTCAAGGACACAGCTTATAGGTCAATATCTTGTCTGGAGTGTTAAATAATTTGTCACCTTAGTGCAGGATTTTGTTAACTCCTTATATACTTTTAATAAATAGGAGTTAACCCATTACTGCATAAGGTGCTGATTTATATATTCTGCAAGTACTAACAAAGATCATTTTGTGATAAGCAAGATATTTTTACATCAAATAAAAAAGAAAATGAAACGCACAACACACATAAAATAAAGTTCATAACTCTATAATTATTATGCCCCCCCCCCCCCCTTTAAAGAAGTGGGGGTATATTGCTTTGCATTTGCATCGGTCCATAGACCAAATGGTTTCCGATCAATAACTAAAGAACACTTAGGCCTAGGAACTGCAAACTTGGGATGATGATTTTTCATGACCAGTAGATGACCACTTTTGATTTTGGGGTCAAATGTCAATGTCACATTGACCTTGTAGGTAAAAAATAACTAAAGAACGCTAAGGCCAAGGAACTTCAAAGTTGGTATGATGATTGTTCATGATCAATAGATATCCCCTATTGATTTTTGTGTCAAAGAGTCAAAGGTCAAGGTCACATTGACTTCGTAGGATTTAAACGGTTTCCAATCAGTAACTAAAGAATGCTTAGGCCTTAGAACTTCAAACTTGGTATGATGACTGTTCATGACCAGTAAATGACCCCTGTTAATTTTGGGGTCACTGGGTCCAAGGTCAAGGTCACATTGACCTTGTAGGTAAATACGGTTTCTGATCAATAACTAAAGATCACTTAGGCCTAGGAACTTCAAACTTTTTATTATGATTGTTCATGACCAGTAAATGACTGCTATTGATTTTGGGGTCAAAGGTCAAGGTCATAGTGAGCTTGTAGGTTAAAACAGTTTCCGATCAATAACTTGACAAGACATGGACCTTTGGCCCTCAGACTTTGTAGGTGCATTGGTCTTGGCAAGTAGATGACTCCTTTGGATTTTGGGGTCAAAGGTCAAGGTCACATTGACCTTGCATGTCAAAACAGTTTCCTATCAATAACTTGACAACCCATGGACCCTCAAACTTCACAGATGCATTGTTTTGATCAGAAGATGACCTCAATGGATTTTTGTGGTCAATGGGTCAGAGGTCAAGATCATATTGACCTTATAGGTTAAAACGATTTCTGATCAATATCTCAACAACTCATAGGCCATTTACCTTCCAACTTCACAGGTCTATTGTTCTTAGTCAGTAGATAACCCCTTTTGATTTAAGGGTCAAAGTTCAAAGTCACATTGTTCTTGTACGTAAAGACGGTTTCCGACCAATAACTCAACAACTCAAGTTGCCTTGGTTGATATTTTTCATTAAACTAAAAATGCTTTTGATGTACACATTTCAAGGTATTATGTAAAATAACAAATTGGATGTCATTTAAAAGGCCTACATGATTCATAAAATTTATGCATATATTATTTGGTAAGATTTGTAATAACTTTGTCATAAAATTGCTGCACAAAACCTTTAAGAGTCAGTAGATAACCTCTATTAATTTTTTGGTCACTAGGTCAAAAGTCAGTGAATTGTAAATATTAAACTTTTAGTACACTTTTCTTAATTAAGTTTGATGTGCAACTTAGGTCATCTAAAGGCATACTGCTTTAATAACATGTATATTTCAAGAATCATCTCCCCATTTAAGATAGAATTTAACTCAATAATTGTTCCTTTTTAACTGTTAATTGTAATTAAAAAGCAGTGCTGCGAGGTATAAAAAATTACTTAGGACTAAATCACCTATTCCTTAATTAAAATCATCACCCACATCGTGCATGATCAAGTCTTATATATATTTTCACTTAACACTTAAAAGTATTCTACTTTCTTATTTATGTCCCTATTGTAATGTTTTGCAGTATACTTTTTTGCTAGACTGGTTACTTCTATATTACCAACGACACGGTATTTATGCATAACTTTACAGACACAGTCTAGTTCCGGATGACTGCACAATAACATGGCGAATATTAATTCTATCGGCCAAATTATTGGCAAAATATAACGAAAATAACATTATTTTTCACAATACAGGATTTTAAACCATCATAAATCGATTGTCAACGAAACGGCCTATTATTTAGAGGGTATGGATTCCCTTAATTGATTCAGGTTGGTAGATTATTGATTTGTTTTTAGGAATTAAATTCTTTGACCTGGTACAAAATTTTAGAACTTGTCCAAGATGCAGTGTACTAATGATTATAAAAAATATATTGTATATACCTCTGTTACAATCGATGTTATCCTTGAATATGCATTTAATTAATCTTGTATGCACGTCGTCATGTGTCGGTTTTAAATTGAAATATGTTATAAATGCAAACGTAATGATAAATAGTCACACACATAGAGATCTGTGTTGTGTGTCTTGTTACACTTACAGAGAAAATCCTACTTCTTACTTTAACATCAAGTTTTCAAAAACTATTTTAACATACATTGAAAAATGGATATTTTAGGAATGAAGTTAAGCCCCTTTGGAGTATTTAAAAAGGAGTTGATTACATATTGTGCATAAAATTATGATACTCTTGACCTACAAGCATTTGTAAAATTTTGTGATTACAAGTAATATATCTAAGGCTTATTAACCATTTGTATACATAAATCTTAGAAGAGGAAACTGTGCTTAGATTGATCAGTTTTAAGTAGATTATATTTTCTGCAAATTGAAATACCAAGATTATAATGATCTGAATATACTTTTAAAAGATGTTAATAACTTAATTCAAGTGTGTAGTGTCATATGGTCCTTTTCTTTGTGTGAAATTGATGTGTGGTCAGCAAAAAAGCATGCATTCGGTAATTTATATAAAGTGACAACACAAGAATTTTTTACAAAAACCATAGCTTTCACAATTAGCACTGGTGTGATATCATAAAGATTACTAGCGGTGTGGGATCAACTATTGCAGTTATCAACATATTGTCACTTCATAGATCTATGGAAATAACTCATTGAGGGAAAGTGTGGTGCTTAAGAACCATTACTCTGTGCAAACTTTTGGAGATATTGCTCTTTGTAATTTTGTACTTTATTTTTGTCCAGTGCCAGTTCTAATGTATATTGGCAGCTTGTCTTATAAATGTATTACTGCGCTGACTTCATGTACTGGATGTGTGGAACTATTTCTATTATTTTGGGCTTTTAGTTTAAAAATATTAACTTTTGATAATAAACATCAGTTTAATCAAACAACATCTGGTCACACTGTTCAGTTTTGAGATGTACAAGCAAATAAAAAAACTTTTTACAGAATAACAGATGGCAGAGGCCTTCCTAGCCCAACAAATTGTGCGCTTTAGGGCTTTTTTTATATAGACGATGGTCGCCCTTCGCGACAGACAATGAGACATCTATGAAATATCAGATTATAAAATCGGTCTGTCTTGCCAGGGTTCTCGGGGACGCTTATTTCGGCGTCCCGGTACGCATGTTTATTACAGCTGGACGCAAATATTTCAGAGCAAGGATTCCACATACGCTTAATTTTGCCGGGGGACGCATAAACATTACCGATTGTTTACAACCACAAATGCGGCAGCGCGTGTCAGTCTAAAGATAGGCGGTCCTATGCACATCGACCCGTGAAGCGATTAGCCAATCAGCGATAACGCTTCCGATCATTATCACGCTAATTGATCAGACTAATGTATACACGCGCTGTACAGTACATGTTATTAGCAGATATAACATGAGGTGATAATTTTATATCTTCGATCAGCACTTGATTGGAAATTAGCAAATTTTACCGACAAAAGGATAAAATTATCGAGTATTTACGCCGCAAGTTTAAAGACTGTTTTCTCAAATTACAAGTGTAATTTTTAATGATTGTCGAATATTTTCGGCATTTTCTAGGCACAATTTTGCTTTAGTTTCATTCTTGCGAAAACTTTCTATAAGAATATTAAGAATTTAAGATATTGTGCCGAAATGTCAGGACAACAAACCAAAATACACATACGCTTTTCTTTGATATTTAGATTTATCCCGAACATCGGCGATTTCACGTTCGTCAGAAACCCTAAAATTTCGCAAAATTTCTCGGTTTCCAAGGCAAACATGCGAAAGAATTGTCCCTTAATTATTTAATCAACATTAAATCTTTAAATATCGATCTACAATTTGCCCCCTTTTGAAGATATTTGCTAAAATAATTGTCGATCGGACGAATCTCTTACACACTGTGTGAAGCTGTACACGATTTTCCTATTCCTTCCGCTAAACGCTGCCTATATACATTTACGTTGTTTTTTTTTACAAATATAAACTTTTTGTCTTTAGAGTGGACTTGTTTAACCAGAATAAAATTAAATTTGGTATAAAAGTGAAAAAAAACAACAAAAAACGATTTCCATGTGTTGATGCATTATAATGAAATAATTTCATAATAAATATTAACAACAAAACAATAATTATACTATGTAGTTCAGAGTTTCTTTGGAACAACTATAAACTTTGAAATCTCTTGAAGATTCAAAATATCAGCAATACTATTGTGAGCAATGAATGACTAATCTGTAAACATATTAATTGCGACGCGCTTTTGGACTCCAACTTTTTCAGGGTTGGGAGTCCATGGACTCCATGTTTTAAAGTCCTAGTGAGAACCCTGTCTTGCTGTCGAAATAAGGCCTTCCATGTTTGTTTTGATAATAATTTTTATGCCCTTACTTAAGGAGGAGGCATATAGATTTGCCTGCTCTCTGTCTGGAGACTCACTCTTAAATTTTTGTTCAAGGAATGAGGAAGCCCTCATAGACTCGTGAGGCTAGCAATGTTAAGATTACTAATTTGACATGTTAACCAATCAGGAACTTTAATTTTCTTAATCATGATAAATCATTTATAAATAGTGAATGAAATAGTATATTTTTCATGAAAGCAGTCTTAGCTATCTTCCTTATGCTTTAATAATGAATGATTAATAAGTAGTAATATTTTTATTGATTTTCACACAGTGAATGAGTTATGCCTGAATGGTGGTTGCAGTGATACTTCAGTTCTTAAGCTATTAGGGTTTAGATAATTATTTATAATTGTTTGAAAATATTTTCCTGATTTTAATATCAGTAAAAGTACATAGAAAAACAAAAGCAACTTTTTTTGTTGATTATTAAATTGAATTTTTTTATGATGATTTAATCTCTGACCTGCTTTTGTTAAATGGACTTGACTAGTTTCCATTTGTGGAGTTTGGCATTTATCAAATTAGGGATATAAAAATGAAAATTAAAATCAATCTAACTAACAATATATTATATAGCCTGGTTAGACTGCACAGGCGTCACTCTTTGGTTAAGTGTTTGTATGCAAGTTGGTATGTCCAAACTGTGAAACTACTGAAAGAAATGGGTTGAAACTTCACAAAGTTGTTTAAGAACATAATAGGACGTCACTATCCAAGGACTGTAACTCTAATATGGATTTTGATAGAATTATTACCCTTTTTGAAATTAGGACATTCTAATCCAGGTTCTTGTTTTTCTATTAAGCACTGAGAATAGTCTAGCACGCTGTCCTACTAACAGCTATTGTTTTCATCTGAAGTGATGATGATGTTGGTCTTTAATCTATCATTTTGTGTGTTTGATTTTAACTGGTTTAACTTAACTTAATGATGGTTGTCTATAAGTATTAGTAATGTATATGATGTGCTCATCTTAACTAAATTTCACTTTAAGTTTGTTGTTTAAAGTACTTTGTTTTCCTCTTATGCTTTCTCACATAAAAGAAAAAGTCAACTGACCTTTTTCAAGATAAGGATTGTACATGAATGTAACCATCTGAAATCGTGCAGGGATATGTATATTAAACCATCGAAAATCTTGAAGGGATAATTTTTTTGCCTGTGATATACTTATGTAAAAAGTCAATTTAAACTGCATTACATTAATCGGTTTAGAAACAACAAACTGGCATGACAGTTCTTAAAGTTTCAAAGCAAAGCTTGTCGATTTTGTGAACATAAAAATATTTCAGGCTAAGATGTGTTTTGTTCTAATTTTTAGCTCGACTATTCGATAAGAATAAGTAGAGCTATTGCAGTCACCCGAGCGTCGGCGTCGGCGTAACCACTTATGTTAAAGTTTTTGTAATAGTTCAAATATTTTCAAAGTCCATTGACATATGGCTTTGAAACTTTGCACACTTGTTCACCATCATGACCCCAACCTGTAGACAGGAGGAGGTAACTCTATCAAGCATTTTGACAGAATTATGCCCCTTTTTCGACTTAGAATTTACGTTAAAGTTTTTGTAATAGTTCAAATATTTTCAAAGTCCATTGACATATGGCTTTGAAACTTTGCACACTTGTTCACCATCATGACCCCAACCTGTAGACAGGAGGAGGTAACTCTATCAAGCATTTTGACAGAATTATGCCCCTTTTTCGACTTAGAATTTACGTTAAAGTTTTTGTAATAGTTCAAATATTTTCAAAGTCCATTGACATATGGCTTTGAAACTTTGCACACTTGTTCACCATCATGACCCCAACCTGTAGACAGGAGGAGGTAACTCTATCAAGCATTTTGACAGAATTATGCCCCTTTTTCGACTTAGAATTTACGTTAAAGTTTTTGTAATAGTTCAAATATTTTCAAAGTCCATTGACATATGGCTTTGAAACTTTGCACACTTCTTCACCATCATGACCCCAACCTGTAAACAGGAGGAGGTAACTGTATCAGGCTTTTTTTTTACTATCAAGCACTAAGAATAGTCGAGCATGCTGTCCTACCGACAGCTCTTGTCTGATTTATTATTATTATACAATGTATACATTGTTATTGTATGTACTATGTACTGCAATGTCCGTGCAGGTATGATATACATGTAGTTGAACTTGAATGTGCCCTTGGCTTTTGCAATGGTTGTGCCAGTTCTTGGTTCTAAAACGACACATCCTTTTGTCGTCAAATGCAGATAGTCATGCTAATAAAGGAACTGCAAAAATTACAAGATGTCAATACATTACCAATTCCCATATTAACACTATCAAGCCATTGTTAGCCCTCATTATTACAAGTGACTTACATAATGTAGGGAAATGGTGGCAGGGCCCATGAAACATTGGGAAATTGAGTTGCGTAGTGCATTT